AGCGTGGGAATAGACCGGCTTTTCCTGAAAGGAAGTGGGGGGAAGTGAGGGGATGAGAGCCAGGGGCCGTGTGAAGTCAAAGGGAGGTGTCCTGGGAGGAGGCTGATGGGACCCTGTTCCAGGGCAGCTGGGATGGGAGACCAAGAAGGCAGGAGTCTGACCTCCCTTGGGGGGTGGGGTCTCTCCTGGGGCTCTGCTCAGTCCTGGGGCTGACGGAACCTGCCTGGACCATGGGGACCCACTTGTCCACCCCGTGCTCTGGGCTGTGGGGGGAGGGGCAGGCCCAGGCCGCTGAGCCGCCTCCCTCGGTTCCCAGAGCCCTACAGCCCCTCGGTGTGGGTGATGATGTTCGTCATGTGCCTCACCGTGGTGGCCCTCACTGTTTTCATGTTCGAGTACTTCAGCCCCGTCAGCTACAACCGGGACCTCACCAGCGGCAAGAGTAAGCTCCCACGCGGGCCTGGAGGAGGGGGCAGGGCCGGAGCACCTCAGAGGGGTGGGCGGACTTGCCCTGGGGTGGGGCTGGCCAGAGAGGGGGTCCCCACCCAAAATAGAGTGGGGACAGAGCGGAGGAGTCGGGTGGGCCGAGACCTGGCCCCTCTGTGCTGGGCAAGAAGAGCCCCAGTGCCCACCCTCTCACCCCCAGAGTCTGGGGGCCCATCCTTCACCATTGGCAAGTCCGTGTGGCTGCTGTGGGCACTGGTCTTCAACAACTCAGTGCCCATCGAGAACCCCCGGGGCACCACCAGCAAGATCATGGTCCTGGTCTGGGCTTTTTTTGCCGTCATCTTCCTGGCCAGCTACACCGCCAACCTGGCTGCCTTCATGATCCAGGAGCAATACATCGACACCGTGTCCGGCCTCAGTGATAAGAAGGTTCTGGGCCACGGCCAGTAGGGGCGGGGGGAGGCCCGGAGCAGGAGCAGGCCTTGGGTGGGACACGGGACAGAGTGGGTAGAATGTGACCTGGAGGCCAGAGCAGGAAGGAGCTGGGGAGCCTGGTGAGGTGGGGTGGGGTGGGGGCAGGGGAGAGATGGCTCAGGTCCACTGACAAAGTGGCCTTGGGCAAGTCTCTCTCTATCCTGGCCTCAGTTTCCCCACAGGAGTGGCCTGAGCAGAATCTAAGACCGTTCTGCTCAAGTGTGGACTATGGGGCTGGGACTGGGGGGTGGGGGAGGTGGTGCCTGGAAAGTTCGGGGGAGGGTCACGGATGGCGGCCGCCCTCTGCCCGCAGTTTCAGCGGCCTCAGGATCAGTACCCACCCTTTCGCTTCGGCACGGTGCCCAACGGCAGCACGGAGCGCAATATTCGCAGCAACTACCGGGACATGCACACCCACATGGTCAAGTTCAACCAGCGCTCCGTGGAGGACGCGCTCACCAGCCTCAAGATGGGGTGGGTCCTCAGCCCTGCACTCACCTCTGTCTCTCCTCACGTCTCCCCAGTGGCCAGCTCCGTCCCTGCCTGAGCGACCCGCGCTGGGGACAGGGAGGCTGGGCTGTCCTGTAGGACTCCTGGGGGCGGGCGGTGAGGAGGTCTTAGGGCAGAGTGAGGCGGAAACAAAAACGGACGCTCTCAGGTGGTCCAGATGTGCCACTGTGGTGCCGGCCAGGGTGCGGCCTGGCCCTGAGGTGGAGGTTGTGACCTTTTTAGGGTTTTAGGGACAGGAAGGGCTGCCCAGAGAGGGTGTGTCCTCTGGGGGTAGAGAGTCCCCTGGCCTCCCTGAGGAGGAGGGTAGGTGGGGTCCCCGAGCTGTGGGGCTGTGGCCATCCATCCCTTCTGGGTGCTGGCCCCCAGACGATCCCTGCCCTGAGGGCTCCGCCTGTCCCTAGGAAGCTGGACGCCTTCATCTATGATGCCGCTGTCCTCAACTACATGGCAGGCAAGGATGAGGGCTGCAAGCTGGTCACCATTGGCTCCGGCAAGGTCTTTGCCACCACCGGCTACGGCATCGCCATGCAGAAGGAGTCCCACTGGAAGCGAGCCATCGACCTGGCACTCCTGCAGTTCCTGGGGGATGGTGGGTACTGTTGGCTGGGGACTAAACATCTAGCTTTGAGAGACACCGAGGCTTGCACAGACTTAGTACTCAGGGTCCCCTGCTGTTGGTGGTGGGGACTTGTGGGGGGGGGGTCTAGGGTGGGCCACTGAGCCTGGGTGGGACGGCTGTTCAATGGCTGGTCAGCATCACCACCGTTCTCGAGCCCCCAGGGAGAGGGCTCCGGGGTGAGAGATTAGGGCAGTGTGTGTGTGGGGGGGGAGGGGGGGTTTGGAGGGACTGGATGGAGACCTGGGGAAGAGATGGCTTTGCAGGGAGGGAGTGAGAAATAGGGTTGGGGAGTCCCTCGAGGGCAGGAAGACAGGAAGGAGCTCAGGCCACAGTGGGGTTGGGGGTGGCTGAACTTTCTTTTTCCATCATGAGATGACCTGGGTAGTGCCAAGGGCCTGCCTAGTCCCAGAGTCGAGACCCAGCTGGCCTTGGCACCAGGGCTCCCATGTGTGAGGAGTCCAGCTGAACCTGCCCCCAAACCCAGAGAGAGCTTTGAGTTGAGAGTCCAATCCTATTCGATAATAATGGTCTGATTCTCCATCTGGACCGGAGAGCGGCGAGAGAAAGAACCACAGGGGTGTTTGTGGTTTCCTCGGGGGCCCAGGCCTGGTGTCTGTGTGCCCAGCTCCATGCCTGGCATGTAGGGGCCAATAAGTGTTTGATGAATAAATGATTGATAATATGTACCCAGCCAGCAAGGTTTTATTAGGCATGAGGGGGGCGGGGATGTCAAAGGCTGGCACTGCCCACTCAGCCCCACTGTGCTGTCCTTTCTTCCTGCTTGTTGATGCCCCGACCCCGAATCCTGTCCCTGCCTGGCCCTATCCATGTGGTCCTCCGAGGGCTGGCACCCTGGCTCCAGACCCTTCTTGCTCAAGGCGTGGGTGAGCATTGGGAGGGTCCTTCCTGAGCTAGGTGTGCCCCCCGCCCAGGGGAGACCCAGAAGCTGGAGACGGTGTGGCTCTCGGGGATCTGCCAGAACGAGAAGAACGAGGTGATGAGCAGCAAGCTGGACATCGACAACATGGCGGGCGTCTTCTACATGCTGCTCGTGGCCATGGGGCTGGCCTTGCTGGTCTTCGCGTGGGAGCACCTGGTCTACTGGAAGCTGCGCCACTCGGTGCCCAGCACGTCCCGGCTGGACCTCCTGCTGGCCTTCAGCAGGGTGGGTACCGCCCCGCCCTAGGCAGCGCCAGCCCCGACGCAGATAAGTCAGAGGTAGCCATGGCCCTGCTCACAGATGTAAAAAACGGAGGGTCCCCCAGT